TCCTGCAAAGTACAGTGAGAGTACGGTAAAATGGAAGGAAGGAAAGTATGGAAAAGTCAGGGCTTTAAAATTTGGATGTGGTTTTTGTCAAAGTAAGGTCAAATTTATTACAATAAAATAGTTCATTTTTTAATATAAGTGTTAACAGTATAAACTCAGCATCACTTACCAGGCATCAGAATTATTTACCATCTTTAGCGCCCCCAAGAGGTGGCTGTGGCTTTTGAGTAATCTGCATAAGGCTTTTTATTGAGTGAAGAGTACGTTATAATATATAACTTTGATAATATTTTTGGTGTGCAGTTATTATAGGTCTCTATATGGACAGCAGTAGTATAGGAGAGAGGATGGCCTGACCACAGACTGGAACTGAACCTGGGTCACTACCAGGAGAACGGTTTTGCTGTGGCAACCTAACAGTCTTACTGACCTCTGGCCTCCTCTGTTAACATTTTCACAGGTTGTCGCTGTTGTGCTGCAGTTGTGAAGGACGGGTGAAGATGTTGGATGGATGTAGATATGCCAAGACAAATGGTGGCAGATAGCAGCGGACACAAGGAGAGGAAAAGATGGATGAGCGTGGGAGTGTGAGGGGAGACAGAGAGGTGACCTGTGATGGACGGAGACATGCAAATCTACAGGAGATAGAAAACGAACAGATAAAAACCCAGGCCAGGTCAGAGCACAGACGACAAACACGCATGTTACCGTGCCATGTCGAAGTATTCACTCAATATTTTAATATGAAAATGTTAGTTTAAGTGTTTTATTTTAATATGAAAATGTTAGTTTAAGGAAACTCTGACATTAGGAGGAGTGTTAAGAATCCACTGTGGAGCTGATGTGTGGACGTGAGTGAATAATGGAAGTAAAAGGAGCTGAGGACAGAAGAAGGTCAAAGTTCACGCAGTGAAGAAAGCGATTCCTCAGTTTGATCAGGCAGTTTATGTAATTAGCAGGGCCGTGTGTCAGGAGTGATGGAGGGAGCGGAGCATTATCAGACGAGCGTGTTAACCTACGGATGTTTCTAGAAGGGAGGCTTGGACACTGATAGTGAAGTCAAAGACGGCTGCTGCTGCTGGCATGTGTGAGGGTAAGATCTGACACTTTGTTTGTTTGTCTGGGCGGGGTCTTGTAGTGAAGTGTAGTGCTGACACTTTATTAGGAATCTGGTTGGGAAGACATTTGGCAGGAAGAAATGATGCTGGATTAAAAAAACGATCTATCCATCTATGTATATGTATACATGTACTGTATATATGTACACATATATGTGTATATATATATATAGGACAGATGGAGAGGGACTGGTCTCACACAGCAGAGTAGTACACATCATATATGACTTTGGCCAAAAACTGCAAATCTCATGCCTTCAGAGTCACACTCCATAAAGGCACATGGTTCCCCGCTGCCACCTGTCAGTCACAGAGCAACATTTAAAAACAACATCAACACTTGGTAAATGGACTGGTGTCTGCCATACACACTGCACTAATGTCTCAGGAGGAACCTCAGTGATTAACTGGTGTCCATGCAACTCAAATAATTAGCCAGTCATACTGCTGCAAAGGTTTTAGAAAATACTTACACATACTAAATACTGTACAGGCAAATAAAAATCCAGAACATGCATGGTAGGAATTCTGGTAGAGAGGTTAACCCATCAGATTTTAGAAAAAATCTAGAACATGGAAACATTTGAAACTACTGCTTTAAAAGGTTTTCCCCATAATTCACTTTGGTGGCAAACTGGGGATCTGCAGGTACCAGGAAAAAAGAAAAACATCTAAAGGATTAAATAATATTGGCGATAAATATTCAAAAATAATATTTAATTAATGTAGATGTGAATAATTGTTTCTTGTAGGGTAAGAATAACAAATTAATCTATGATGTGTGTTTAACCGGTTTCTTTTTGCCATGAATTTGGATACTTCTGTGAATGGAATCATCTTTTAGACTTATTTATACATATATAAAAATACTACAGTATTTACTTATCAACCTTTTCCAACATAAAAATCAATTTGCTTTCTACTTTATTAGTGTTTAAAAACCTGCAGATACCCTTTGCAAAATACTGATTCTGAATACCTGGTGATTTTGTTATGCAGTGGACACTTTGGTTGTGTAACATGAATATTTGTGGTATTTAGTGATAAAATGTTGTTGATGATCCAGAATTCCCACAGAGGAGTGCAGTTCCTCAGTCAGCAGCACGTGTTACAGGAACCAGACAGCTTTAACCTTATAGATTTAAATTGGTATAAAACAGATACACACTCATGTACACTCACTAATTTAACTTTTATCTCTTGAGGCCACTCTTTGGGGCCAATATGATAATATGCTAAAAAAGGTTTAATCTAATGTTTAGCAGAAACTTAGCTCTTTAGCTACATCTTTAAAAACCTTTTCAGTATTTCTGTGATAGCATTAAGATGGCTTGGAGTAGCTCTTTTATTGTGTGGCTTCCCAGACAATTAACCTTTAATTGTTTTGCATCGTTAAGCACAAACCTTACAGTGGCATCACAACCATTCAATGAAAAGGATTGCATGGGGAACTTTATATATTTTAACCTTTATCTTGACACACACACAATAACACCACCATATCTACTCAGTATCAAACAAATGCGCAAGTACAATATAAATACACAAGTCTTGTTCTTGTGTCTCTCTCACACACACACACACACACTCACACACGAGCTCAGACAGGAACATCATGCAGCAGGGTCGGGTGGTTTTTCAATCATCACTGCTGTGTTCTCTCCAGAGCAGTAAAAAGAGCTCAGGTCCAGTGTTGGCAGACTCTGATGAGTCCAACACACACCACTGACTGCTGGTGTATTCTCACTGCCTACAATGGCTTTGGCTGCACCTGTTCAGTGTGTGTGCACCAACGCACACGTGCACACGTAGACGTGACATATTTTCTGTATAGATTTACAGTCCAATAGAGATCGGTCTGGCTTGGCTATTTGCTTGAAAATGTGCGTCCTTTGCCAAAGAAGCTAAAGTGAGACCTTGGATGTTTTTGACTTGGTGTGGAAACACAAGTCACAAGTCTACACTTTGAAAACTTTCTAGACTGAAGACAAATTGACTCAATCTCTGCTGCAGACCTGAGCCTCATAGTAGCTGGCTATATATACTCTTCAATGGTTTTTTTCTTCTTCTAAGGACTAATGCACTTGAACTCTGTATGGTATGTTGTAAAAAAAGACGTGTTTTTAAACTGGGAATGTAAATTTCACTTTGCTTTTAACTGAGACGTAAAAACCCAGGGAGGGGTTTTCAGCTTCACTCCCATCTATTTTTCATCTTCATTAATAAGGTAAAAAATACAGAGCTGTCAGGAGAAGATTCACTTCAACTGCTGAGGTTAAACACACATGCAGGCACTCACATCTATTAAACCATATTTACTGGGCCGGGGGAGTGGAAGGGGGTCAGGGGTTGGGGGGTTCGATGGTATCCGCTGCTTGAAAGAATCTTCTAGAAACCCTGGTCAGGGAGTGTTTCTCATCCAGTGATGACGTGTTGAATCATTTTGTATAATTATAGCATAGCCATGGAAGAAAATGGATTCTTTCCTCTGGACTCTTTTTCCAACAGGGTCAGATTTCTGTCCGAACTAAATCTCATCTGTTTTATGGTTTGGACCATGGTTTTTTAATGGCTACATTTTGTGGTTTATATTTCTTATGTTGTTAAAAAAAACTGATATATATTTTTTTGTTTGTTTGTTAAATAACCACTTTGTGTTTCTTATTGGTCTCTATAAAAGCTGCAGCAGTTTCTGGGTCTGTGCCAGCTGAAAGCTGTAGGAGTGTTTTAGCAGCAGATTCTATCGGCTCTTCTCCTGCTCATGGAAATAAATGATTAATGAAGCCCGGGCTCCTGCCTGCACCCCTCCCTGGTCAATGCCCAGCCTGGGCAGCAGCCTGTGTCTGTGTAAAACTGGATTCTACAGTTAGGATGGGCTGAAGCTGCAGAGAGCAGTAATAGTGTGTGTCTCTGCTGGTCTTTGAAGTGTGTGAGCAGAGGTTCACAGACCAACTGAAAAGAAAAAGTGGTAGTCTTTGTTACAACAACGTTACGCTGTTTAGCTCTAATGAATGCTAACATTACAACATTAGCATCGATGGTCGCCGTTCATACAGTCTACAGATGCAGCACATACTTTGACAATGGCAATTTTCTCCCTTAAAAAAATCAACCTTTTGATACAGAATGCTGCTGCTCCTATTTAAAGTAGAGCTTTTTCGTCCGATTAATCACAGGGTTGCTGCAGATTAATTGACTAATCATGATTATACATACATTTCTCCCTCTCCCCTTCCCTCTGCCTCCCCTTCCTTCTCTTTCTTTGTGACCGTGGTGAGGAAGTGTAAAGGGTAAACTGAGCGATTCTCTCCATGGGACAAAGGACCAGAGAGGCTCAGACCTTTGCATACAGACCCGTGTGCACATTAATATGGTTTAAAAGTGTGCATCTTGCCCTGTGTGCAATAGTGTGTGCACGTTTGAGCGTGCACGTGCGTGTCAGAGGCCAGACGTTAGCATTGACAATAGCCTGTTGAGACCTGGGAGGAGACGGGCTTCATTAAAAGAGGCCTTGAACAAACACAGAAAAGAGACGGAAGTGTAGAGGTGGGAGAGGGCCTGGGTGGAGGCAAGAGGGAGGGACGGATGGGGTGTGGGAGAAGAAGAGGGAGGAAGGGTGAAGCCAAGTGAAGGATATTTAGTTAGAAAAAAATAGAAAAATGGAAAAGTGCAAAAGGAATTGTGTAGATGCAAATAAAGGAAAAGTCAAGTTTAATGACATGAAGGACCATGAGACACAGTGGGACCAAGGGGTGAGGAAGGGATTTGGACAAGTGTAGGAGGAAGTGGATGGGGGGCAAACCGGTGGGGCAGCGGGGGTAAGTCAATACACCGATGGTTTAAGATCAAGGGATGAAGAGGGAAAAAAAGACAAAAGAAGGATGAAGACTTGGAGTAAAGAAGTCTGGGATCTGAGGTGCAGAATCAAAGGGGGAGGGACTTACGGGGGAGGCAAAAAAAAGAGCTTCTCCAAATAAAGGTTAATAGTGATGGAAGACCCCGGCAGCACAACAAGTTTATATCTGTGTGTGTGTGTGTGTGTTTGCTGCAGATCAACACAATGGGAGGAGAGAATTTGCTTTGCTCTGCACATGCTTCCCATTGCTGCACGAATGAGTGTGTGAGGGAGTAGCTGGTGTGTGTAGGTCGTGTGTGCGTGGTTGGCAGTGCTCTGGTGTGTGTCAGAGGAGCAATAAATCGATACCTAATAAATAAATGATAAGCCACAAAATTTCAAAAGGCAAAGGCAAAAACAAATGATGTGAGTCCCAGCGGCCACTGGAGGGCGGAGATCAGGCGCTGGGCACTGCAGTGTGGAGAGAGCAGCTCGTGTGTGTGTGAGGGTGTGTTTTTATTGTTGTAGTAGAAAGTGTGTGCTCCAGGCTGAGATGTGGAGTGTGACATCAGGGCGTGGTTTGTTCTCCTCAAATGGAAGAAATGAATGAAAATTAAAAACAATTGAAATTATGAGAGAGAGAGAGAGAGATAAAGACAGGGAGGCAGAGAGGTGAGGCTGGGGGAGATCAAAAACCACACCCACCAAAATAAGGAAGAGGACTGCAGCTTGGAAGGAATGCTCTTCTATTGATTCTCTTTCAGAAGATGGACGGTTTCCCACTGGTTGTCAACACCATAACACATAAACAAAGCAGTTTAATCTGATCCTCGTTATCCGTATCATTTCAATGTTGGTCAAAATTTTAGAATCAAACCTCAGTGTCCTGCTGCACACTGGAGGAGAAACGAAGGTATTGGATTGATGTTGGTATTGGTAGTATTTGGTGTATTTTCTAAGTTGTAGTATCGGAAATGAAAAAGTTGTATCCAGTCATCCCTGAATGATGAAAAAGTTGTATCCAGTCATCCCTAAATTTAACAACAGCACAAACATGACCTTATAAAGATGGAAATGAAAATTAATTTCTGAATTAAAATAGTCATTTTGTCACACGACCAACAGCCAACAACGTTACAC